GATGCGCCGGAGCCGGTTAGGGCTGCTGAGAGGAAGGGCGGGCTGGCCGAGATGATCAAGGGCCCGGATATCACCATCGCGCTGGCGATCTGCGAGACGTGCCCGAGCAGCGAGGTGGACATCATTATCCCGGTCCTCCTCAACATCTTCGACACTCGCCAGGGCCTTATGACGCTCATGAAGGCGCTCATCGACCGCGAGATGGCCAACACTGAGAACGAGGCCGAGTTGTTCCGTGGGAACTCGACGTGTACGAGGATGTTGTCGGCGTTCGCGAAGATCCATGGGTACACGTACCTCAGGAGCCTGATCGTGCCACTCGTCAAGACGATGGAGAGTCTGCCGCCGGGACAGAGTTACGTGCTCGATCCTACGCTCGTGCCGGCCGACCAGCGCGAGCAGAACCAGCGCAACGTCGAGGTCGTCGCTACGAGCTTCCTCAACATCATCACGGCTTCCGTACCCGCCATACCCAGCATGTTCCGCGAAGTGTGCGCGCACATCGGCAAGGCGATCATGCGGTACTGGCCCGAAGCAAAGTTCGCCGCGCTCGGCGCGTTCATCTTCCTACGGTTCATCTCGCCGGCCGTCGTCAGTCCCGCCGTGGTCGATGTTGAGCTGCCGAAGGAGAACGCGGAGACGATCAGGAAGGGGCTGATGATCGTCGCGAAGATCATACAGAATCTGGCGAACAATATCTTCTTTGGGAAGGAGGCGCATATGGCTTCGTTGAATGATTTCTTGCATGCGAATATCATTCATGTCACGAAGTATCTCAGCGAGCTCTCGGTGAGTGCTCCTTTCATGATAGAGACTCAAGATAGATGCTGACTGTCGCTGCAGAAATACGTCCCTGCGCCGGGCGAGGAGGAGGAGGAGTGGACCGGCGCGCCGCACGATGATACAGACACCATCGTCTTGCACCGCTTCTTCGACAAGCACGCGGACAAGGTCGGCAAGGAGCTGCTCTCTGTACACAAGGCTCCTGCCGAGGGCGGAGAGAGCGCGGCGTTGGCGGGCAAGCGCGCGTGGGACAGCATTTGTACGGCGCTTGTCGACCTCGGCCAGCCCATCGACGTCCCACGCCACTCGCCCTTCAACAGCGCCCAACACGCCGACTTCCGCGATCTGATGAGCCGCTATGCCCGCCGGAGCACGGCGAGCGTACGCGATCTCTTCGTCGAGACGTACACCCCCAAGACCGAGGCCGCCGTCTTCGTGCTGTTCCTCTGCAAGTTTGACGTCGAGACGCTGGACATCGATCTGCTGCTGTACCACGTCTTCAGCAAGCTCACCCAGCCCGAGTTCGCGGACAGGCAGTTCTGCATGATATACGACTGGACGGGCTTCGGACAGGGAAGTCAATTGCCGATGCAGTGGATCAAGTATATCATGGAGATGGTTCCCTCGGATATTCGCTCGCGGTTCGAGACGTCGTATCACCTCAACATCAACGCGTCGGCGCATGCGTATCTGAGGCGCATACATAATGTCACCGCGGGTGCGACGCTGGCGAGGAGTGTGCGCGCGTGCTCGAACATCGAGGAGTTGCTCAAGATGGTTCCCGCGACGTGTGCTGCGCCGCTCGTCTATGCGCGCTCGCTCGAGCAGGAGGTCGCGGAGCATTTCGGCGGGATCCTGATGAGGCAGCACCATGCCGTGCGCGTCCCGGTCGCGCTCGAGGTTGGCACGAGTCATTTGAGGGTGTTGGCGGACAAGGCGCTCCCGGTTGGACCGAGCCTGGCGTGCAAGCCCGTGGAGATTATACCGTTTGCTGAGATCAGCGACGTGTATAATGTTAGCTCGGCGGCGCACGATCCTGGGGAGTTTATCATCAGGAAGACGAGGCAGGCGGCTACGTTGTACTTCTCGACGCCGGCGAGGGATCAGATCGTCAAGGTATGTGTGCTTGCTCATCTTCGTAGGCATTGATGCTGACTTCGCTTACAGAGTATCCGCGCGGCAAAGGGACGTATGCGAAGTACGAGTCTGCCTGGTACCGAGCGGTTCTCGCGTCTCAGCAACGTCAGCGCTGCATTGCTGCACATTTCGTTCCTCAACCTCGGCGCGGACAGCAGCGAACTTCGTGGCGCCTCCTACGAGCTGCTCGCATCCGTCATCTCGTCCTTCGATCTGGACACCAACCCGATGCTCTCTACCAAAGGACTGTTCCCACTCGGCGGCTCGACGGCAACGGCGATCACGCCCATTCTCAGCGAGAAGATCGCGGGCGGCGTTCCGCACCTCACTCTTGACTTCGTGTCAGAGGTGTGCAGCACGCTTGACAAGTCTGAGCCGGCAACGCGTATGCACTGCATGGCGTACATGGCACCGTGGCTAAGGAACCTCTCGCTCTTCGTGGACCCGACGAGCGCTTGTTATGACGGCTCCGGCGCTAAACTACGCGACTGCGTGCGACTGCTTATCGAACTCACTCTCGCGGACCCGGCACAGATCATGGTGATCCAGAAGACGGTCTGGACGGAGATCGGACGTCTCGACAGCATCGTGGTGAACGTCATCCTTGACGAGCTCATGCGCGCCGCCATTGACGGCGGCGTCGCGAGTCAACGCTGTGAAACGATCTGTCTGGTTATGATCCCGCTGACGTCCATCAACGTGCGCGGGCAGATCTTGTCCAAAATTCGCAAGGCGCTTGGGAAGACGAGTGTCAAGCCCACTCGCGATCTGGCCGACAACACGCACTGGAACGAGATCGCGTCGCTCATGCGTCTGGCGCTCATTGCGCATCAGCATGGCAAGCAGACGGTGCTGCCGCAGTTCTACCTACCTGAGCTGCTGCATCTCGTCACGCTCATCGCCGGCACGGGCGAGACGCTCGTTCGTACGACCGTGTGGCAGCTGGTGCTCGATACATTGCAAGCGCTGTGGATAGTCCGCTCGGCGGATGCCATTGCTGGGCCGGAAATTCAGACGTTGCATGATGAGGCGAGCACGGATGAGACGCTGCGGTACTTTGGACTCAGGCGCGCGACGTATACGGGCGATCTTATTCCGTATGTTCCGTTCAACGAGAAGGAGGCGCTCGACAACCAGGAGGGCCTTGTTTCGTACCTCATGCGTGTCATGGAGACGGCTGCTCAGACCAAGGGTGCGTGCTTCACTTTGGTGATATCCTGATAGTTACTAACCTCTGGGTAGGTCTACTCAACGTGTGGCGTGCACGCTGGATGAGTCTCGTCACCGCGACAGCCTTCCAGGTTTCCCCGGCCGTACAAGCTCGAGCCTTCATCGTTCTGGGCGCCCTCGCTACATCCGACGTCGATGACGACTTCTTCTACCAGATGCTCGTCGCGCTCAAGACCGCGCTGCATCAGTTCAATGATCAAGACACGCTCGCCGTTGTCAGCATGCTGCGCTGCATCCGCAATGTAGTCCCTGCCCTCCTCGCCAACTCGCGCTACCTCCCTCAGGTCTTCTGGCTCGCCGTCGCTCTGCTTCAGAGTTCACACATCGCACTGTACCCCGAAGCTGCCAACCTCCTTCAGGTCGCCGTCGAGCAATTGTACCATCAGGGCCTCTTGGGAGACCAGAGCATGTCCGCGGCGCTGCTTGAGCAGCGTGCGCCAATCGATGACATCGCCGGTCAGCTCGACAACCTCCTCGGACTGTCCTTCGAGACGAACTTCTCGTTCTCGCTCGCCGCAATCATCTTCAAGGGAATGCGCCTGACGCACTTGCGACCCATCGCCGTCGATGTCCTGCGCTCCCTCCTCCGTATTGGCTCTCTGGCGCACGCGCAACACGAGACGGTCACCAACGGCGGCCCCGGTCCGGCTCTGTCGCCCGAGGTTTTGGGCTACTTCTTGGCGCTCTTGCCCGCAGGTCTACTTGCGAAGGACTTCCAAGGTCTGATCGAGGATGCGGGGCTTGAAGAGGCGTGGCCGCAAGTCGAGGTTCTGCGTACTGCAGACAGCAAGCGCGCACCGCGCGTCCAAGTGGCGCTCCTTGGGCTCACGGACAAGAACGACGCGCTGCTCGCGATCTCGTTCATCCGAACCATGATCATCAGCGGGACCGAGTCCGAGCAAGAGAGCGAGTTCTTGTGGTGTCTCCTCGCCGACGTCGCTGCCGAGTGGCCGGATGTCCTGGCGCTCACGTACGACGGCTTCCAGGACCGCATCAGGGATATCTTCGCGAACTCGACCAGTCCCAACGTACTCCACGCTGCCTCATCGATCTACCACATCGCGCTTCCCCACCAGAGTACGCGGTCCCTTTTTGGCGCGAGCCAGTCAAGCCTTGGGACTGTCGACGAGGCGAGCAGTGCTGTTGGCGTTGGGAGGAACCACCTGCACGCGCTCGAGGAGCTACACATGAATGGGCTCGCCGCGCCCGTCAACTTTATACCCGCGTCGAAGCCGCAAGCCGCGACCAAGGTCATCAACTGGATCTCCGAGCTTGTTCTGAGGATCATAGAGTAAAAGACCGTTCGGCCATTGCTACTCAGTCTCTCCTATACTTATTCGCACATGCTCATCTTTCGTTCTCTGTTCACGTCTGCGACTGCTCATACTTTGCCTTGTACCATCTCACCCTACGCTTTGTTCCGGTTCCGCTTCACTCACACTGCACCATCTCAACTTCGTTATTCTTATGCCCCTGACGCGTCGACTGTGTTCAAGCCATCCGAATTTCAACTGTGTATCTATCTGTTGCTTGACTGTTTCCTACTCTTCGTTCTGTAACATGGTTCTCTATCTACTCTAATATCATGGCCCGTATATTCCACCCACGTTTCGGAGATGCCTCTCGGTCCGCCCGCGGAAAGACAGTAAGCGGGCGCTGCATAATCAGTATAGAACGAACATCTTGGCTGTGCTATTTCAATGTACGGGCTTGATGCGTGGCCCACATATAGCGCGGCGCAGCAATCTAAGATCACCTCGCGAATCCTCAGAGCGCTGATCGTGCCCCTAGGGCGCACTGTCTCCTATATATCTGAGCATACACAGCAATCCTTCTTCCCTAATCGCACGATGGTAGGACCCGCCTCCGTCCCATTCTGGCCGTACAAGGTCTTCTTCGTCTACATCGAGCCCCTCGGCGCGCTGCTCGGTGCATTCCTCACCGGCCTACGCCCCGACGAATACCTACACGACCTCCTTGATCCATTCGCACTGCCCGAGACGAAGACATCCACGTCGGCGTACGCCGCCCTCGGGCTGCTCGCCAACCTCTGGCTTCTCTGGTCGCTCAACGAGTACTTGGTTCTTTCAGGGACAACGGAGCTCAAGACGTGGCGCCGCCTTCTCACAGGCCTGCTCGTCGCAGACATCGGCCATCTCATTGCGCTCGGAGTTTATGGAGGACCGGGGCTGTACTGGCAGTACTGGCGTTGGAACGCCTTGGGATGGGGAAATATCGCCCTCGCATATCTCGCTGCGAGCACGCGCATATGCTTCCTGCTTGGCGTTGGGATCGACTCCAGGAAGGAGCGGCAGAAGTTAGCGTGAACGTGCGCACCACATAGTATGGTAAGAGATGTTGCTATCTCTTAGAATGGTATACTGATATGTTACGCACTAGGCTCTGCGTCAACGCGTAGGACATTGGAACGGTATACTTGGGCGGTAGAATATCAGCGCCGACGAAACTGTGGCAACGCTCGCGATAATCCCCTACAGTACCAGACGCTTCCATGTACTGCAGCTGTTACACATCTCTCACAGGTTTCGTGTGCCACTTTCCATGTACCGGCATCTTCGTCAGAGGACGACAAGGTCAACGCCGCGTTTCAATTCCGTCGTGTTAATGTGATGGGGTATCCGACATCTCTCGTGTATCTCGTACAATATATACATACTATGCTAGCCACGTATCAGTCTATGCGAAGTGACTGGTCCGTATATTGCTCAATCATGAATAGCAGGTGGTGGTTGAGAAACAAGCGCCAGTCGCGTGCGGAAGAGAGCGGCGCGTCGGCGATGGGCCGGACGCGATGCTTGAACACGAACCATCATGACGTTGCATATCTTTGCGCACCCATCCATCCTCGGTCGCGCTTAGCCGCACAGCATGCTGAGGAACGCTCTCTCACGTTGTTGAATACCAAGACTGCTGTCTATCAAGCCATCCTGCGACGGGGCAGGCTCTAGCCGCAGCAACAGTCCAGAGCTGTCTATCCTCGCGAATCGTGCCAGAGCATGACACGCTATTTGGGGCACCGGTCCCGCCGCACATCCTCGTGCTCGAATCATAAAAATATTGGTGGCCGACGCGTTGCCTGAATCTTGCTACCTCCTGAATATCAAAAGCCATGATACGGTCACCGCACGCTCAGCTGGCTAGTCGTCTCCCTATGCCGGCCCTGCCTTTCCACGTTTTCCTTTTGTTATACAAATACTCCCAGGACTTGGGCGCCCAGTAAAGCAGCGGATCCGATCAGGGCGCGCGAGCGGCACATACTGCAACATGTTGCAATGAACAAGTTGCAAGTCATTTACCGCGTACTCCACATGAGCAGCGCTGCGGGCGTGGAGCGCTCTCTGGATCGCGTCAGGTGTTTCTATTGACTGATAATGTTGTCAAAGCAGCATTAGTGCGCAGATATTATGGCGGCGTGCGGTGTTATCTTGGATCTGCGCCATCCCGGTAATGGCACCAGAGGCTGCGAAGGTGGCTTACGCGGCGGGAATATAGGCCTCAAACCGGCCACTTCGTGGCCCATGTGGTCGGCGGCGATTGTGAATGCCAGTACCTAGTACGTCGCTGCTTACCTATGATGCCTGACATTGATGACAAGCGGCGTCACCGTTGGCCCAGTCACCCAATTTCGCGGGCAAGCATTGAAACGCAATGTCGCATCTGCAACACAACTTCAACATGCCATGATGCGTGAGTCCTGCACACTCGGGACATCAGTGGAATCTTACTTGCGTGATAGTACATCGGATTTCTTCAATAGACCGAGTCATATCTCTCAACACCGGATATGTCTCTATAACTGACTTTTTGTCTGTTGATCTAGGCGGCGGCGGCGCTTGCGGTGATCTCGGAGGCACAGACCTGGCCATCCTCCCGAATGGGCCAGTAGTGAGCACCGCCTGAGACAAGCTCGCGAGGCCAATTCACCGGCGTGGCAGTTGTTGCTTCCCCGCGCTCGGGAATCGATCTCAGCGGCATGTTCATATTCCAAGTGATGGCAGCACGTATAAGTTGCCTTACATGGAACCCGAACATGCAGTGCACTCACCCCCCTCCTACCACCAGCGAACCCGCGCACCCCCGCATCGCGCCCGCCCACCCGACGACTCGGACCTCACCGCGCCCGCCCGCGACTCACCTCTCGACCCGCCGCTTGACGAACGGCGACCCTTTTGACCGACAACGACGACAAAGACGACAGCAACTCTCGACCTCACCATGAACGCCATTCTCGACATTGCATCTGCGCACCCCGCCGCCCTCGCGTTTACCTGCCTCTCGCTCCTTGTGATTCTGCGCGCCGCGTACCTTCTCCTTCTCTCGCCTCTCGCCGACGTTCCTGGCCCGTGGTATGCTGCGGTGTCGGACCTCTGGCTTACGACACACGTTCTCCGACTTCAGCAATGCAAGACCGTACACGCCCTCTTCGAACGCTACGGTCCTGTAGTGCGCGTCGGGCCTAACCAGGTTGTGTTCCGGGACAGCGTTACTGCCAAGACCGTGTACAACAACTCCCGATTCTCCAAGAGCCCGTACTACAAGAGCTTGACCATGTACGCTTTACTCTTCCCATCCCATATTGCATTGAACTCATGAAACGCATCACAGGAATGACAATGACCATGCGTGGGTGAACCTACGTCTTCTATCACGGCACCCGACTGACCTCTTATAGCATGACCTGCCTCGAACACTCCGAACATGCGCAGCGTAAGAAGGGATATGTCCCCCACTACGCAATCTCCAACATCGCCCTCTTTCAGCCAGAACTTCACCAGTACACCGTGGACCTCGTTGAGGTACGATCAGATGTCTTTTCGCCTGTCTTCGTCTCTGAACATGGTACAGGTACTTGAGCGCATCGGTGGCCGCGACACGCCGGACACTCTCAATCTTTTCCGCCAGTATCTTGTTGACGTTATCTCCTCTGCATCTTTCGGTTTCCATGTCGGCGCACTCGGCAAGTGGGCCATGGACCGTGAAGACAAGCTTGTTACCGCCATTGGCGATTTCCCCAAGCGTGAGTCTATGCTTGCCTCTCCCTGTAACGTCTGTATTGATGTCAACATCATAGGCGGCATTCTTGTACGTTTCTTCCGGTTCCAGGTGTTGATTTTCGACTAATTCAAGCTTTCAGCGGAGCGCTCTCCCTTCCTGGCTCTGGGATCTCTTATGCCGCATCCCCCACCAACGCTGGCAACTCTTCTGCCACGCCGACTCGACGATGTCCGAGTTTGTCAGCGCGCGTGTGTACGAGGCCCGCAACCAGATGACTTCTGGTGGCAGCCCAAGCCACAAGGCGCTTGTTCACCGCCTTCTCGAGCACAAGATCGGCGCCAACGGCGCACCTATGCCCGACAAGGACATCATCGCCGAGCACATGGGTCACCTGTGTGTATCGTTCCCATTTCTCACAGTCTCCTCTTGCTTATCAGATTGATACACAGTGTTGCTGGCGTCGACACCTCGTCGACGACGCTCTCATACATCTGCTGGGAGCTGAGCCGCCGCGCTGACGTCGCGCAGAAGCTGCACGCTGAGCTGGACATGGTCATGCCCGACGGCAAGACCATCCCGGACCTCATTGTCCTGCAGAACCTGCCGTACCTCACCGCTGTGATCAAGGAGGGTCAGTATCTTATGCCAACGTCTTCACACTACATCTGCTCATTCTGAATATAGGACTCCGCCTCTACGGCGCAGCACCCAGCCTGCTCCCTCGCACGGTCCCGAACTCCACCTCGCGTTCAAGTGCCTTCTCTGAGCCCTTCGACCTCATGGGCTACGCGATCCCGCCCGGCACGACCGTTGCGACGCAGGGTTGGTCCACCAACCGCGATGCCAGCATCTTCACCGCGCCTGATGCGTTTGCACCTGAGCGTTGGCTCTCCGCAACGCCGGACATGGAGCGTGCGCTCATGGCCTTTGGCACTGGCACGCGCGCCTGCGGCGGACAGAACCTTGCACAGGCTGTTCTTCGCATCTGCGTCGCCTCGATCGCGCGTAACTTCGACATCGTTGCGCCCGAGCACACCGACGAGCAGAGCATGGACATCCGTGATAGCTTCGTACGTCTCGTTGACCTCGCTGCATGCCACTCTCGTTGACAAGCTTCTGCATGTTATAGGTGATCTTCCCTGCCGCCATGAAGTGCGACCTGACTTTCTACCCGCGCCACCGCTGAGCGCTGCGCCCGTGCTCCCCCTCCGCTTGACTCTGGGAAACCGCCAACAAACTTGCCTCCACAACCCGTGCTGCCCTTGCTGATACCCCGAAAATACCTTACATCCACGTTAATTGCTCCTCTCTCCGCTCTGCCTCTGCCTCTGCAACGTATACGCCTTACCTTACGGTCATACTCTTGACGTAAAATACCACTTGAAGAGTTTAGTAGTTACCTTAGTCGCCGTCAAACGGCCGTATCCCACCCACGTCGCTCCTTACTCGGACTCTTGTTTCCTTACTATAATAGCGCTCTCACCGCCAACTTGTTGTTATATAACAATGAATCACACTCGTTTGTACCTCTCATTAATCCGCTGGATGTATGATGCCAGGTCGACTGTGGATCGCGAGACCACTCTGAAAGAGGATAGGAAATCGTTTTATTGCAGAGAGAGAATGAGAGGGGTATGCCGATAATGAATGTGATACATAGTACAGGACGGCTAATCAGAGACCACTACAGAGTCGCTATTTTTGTTATTCGACGCTTAGAAAGTCGAGCCGATCGGGCCGGTCCTGATGTCGGAGTAGATAACTGCTCGAAGTGTCAGTACGATCGCTCTGGTTACGATATGTGGCTGAGTACGTACCCTTTGCGCTGCCGCTCTGCGACTCGACATCGGCGGGGACACCGCTGGAGGTGGAGCAGTTACCGCGGGCAATACCGGGCTGGGTGGCAGGCTCGGTCGTCGGGTAGTCGCTGTCGAGCCAGAGCATGTTGACGGCGTAGTCGTCCCAGAGCGAGAGAACGAGGACCATGCCCGCCTCGAACGCGTCGCCCATCGTCTTGAGTCCGCCCTTGGCCTCGAACTGGTTCTCGTCGCCGAACGCTGTCTTCTGGTCGTTGCAGAAGTCGTCGGTGATCGAGTTGCCGGAGACGCCGGAGATGGTCGAGTTGGAGTTGGCGATCTGCTGGCCGTTCTGGACGTAGATGCGGCGGATCTCGGTGAGGTCGCCGCTGGCGGTGTTGTCCGAGGTGATGAACTGCGTGACGACGGTGATGGGCTTGGTGGTGTCGACGGTGAGGCCGGGGCCGAGGAAGGACTTGTCGCCCATGCGGAAGGAGTTGAAGTCGCAGCCGTCCTTGTCGCAGAGCGAGTCGTAGCGGTTGTCGCTGCTGTTACCGCAGTCGTCGCCAGTGCAGGCGGTCTGCTCGGTCACGGAGCAGACGTGAGGAGTGTAGGCCTCACCCTGCAGGTGCGGATCAGCCATCAAGTTCGGTAATAAGATGAGCGCTACGAACCATGCTGTTGCCCTCCCAGATGTCCATCTCCGTGCAGCAAGTGCCGTAGGTACCAGTGCCAGTGTTGGCGTTGTTCGAGGACGCGGCCCATCCCTCGACGTTCGCCTTGCCGCTGATGAACTTGATGTCCTGCGGGCACTGAGAGTCGCAGTAACCGGTACCGTACTTGGCACCAGCCTTGTTGGTCGGGAAGCGGCCAACACCACCATCAGCGTCCATCTGGGAGAAGTAGACGGCGCCGTTGAGACCGCAGGGGAGCTGCGACATGTCGACCGTGAAGGTGAACTCCTGGTTCTTCAAGTTGAAGGTCTGGTACTTGGAGTCCGACGAGTCCATGAGGTAGACACGCGAGCCGACGTTCGAGCCGGTCTTGAACTGGAGCGTGAGCGCATTGCCGGAAGCGGTGATACCGTAGGTGCCAGAGTAGTCCGCGCCGTCGAGCGCGCAGTTGGAGGCGCAAGTCGCGTCGTCCGGGCAAAGCGAGGCGTCCCAAGTGTTGCCTGTGAAAGTAATTGCATCAGCGGACCGAACTGTGTGAAACGGATCATCGGAACTTACCGGTGTAGCAGTTCGTCGCGCCCGAGGTCGAGTGGACCCAGCGCCAGTTGGCGTCGAGGACAACCGACTGGGTGGAAGCCGTGCAGGAGCCGGAGGACGTGCAGGTCGAGACCGAGAGCTTGGGGTGCGTCTCGGCGGTGAGCGTGCCGGCCTGCTGGGCGTACGCCACAGCGGCGAGGGTGAGCGAGATGAGAGCCGTAGTCGGGAACATTGCCGTAGGACGAGGAGGTTCGAGTGTCGGAGGACCGATGCTGAGAGCTCGTCGAGGAAGCCCAGCCTTTATACCGGCGGCAACAGTCGGGGGATGATGCGTTAAGTGCGAATACAAGCCTGGCCAAGCGATGCGACCGTCTCGCAGAGATGGCTGGTGACTACCCGTCGGCGAAATGCTCTGGCAGAGAGGAAGCTGGGACGAGGATCATGGTAGCCGAGAAACAACCGTGTTCTCGTCCATTGGTGAGGATCGTACGTATCAACGTGTTGATTTGCTCGCCGTCATTAGAACAAGGTCAGCGCCCGCCTACGCCAGCTTCTAGCAGCGTACACGAGATCAGACCTCAAGCCACGCGAAGGTAGGCCGGTCACCTGCTCGAGAACCGCTGCATACTCCCTCGCAGGAGGCGGATCAGAGAGTATTTGCGGATATGTTGCCAGCCAGAAAGAGGGTTCCTCCGATCTTGCGAGGCGCCCAGCTATACTGGCAACCGCTCGTAAGAATATGCTCGTCAAACGGCCGCGGGCGGTATGTCTGTACGGAGTAGAGTCGGGTAAAGGCTGAGCGACAAGCAACGCGCGGCACGTCGTCGAGGAGGAGTATCGAAGATACCAAGCCCGGTCAGACGGCATCTCGAAATCACGTCGTAACTTGATGAACGGCGCCTCGAGACACATAATTGAAGATAGAAAGCCGCCACAGAAGCCTGGACAATGTGGCTGAATGAACGGCGGTCCGGCAGTACGTGGACACAAGGTCGAGAGGCACCCAGAGGGCGCTGTGGAACAGCATCCTTGACGACGTGAGCGTGCTCTGAGCGTCGTATCCGAGCACATCCGGTGGCACCTGAGAAGATTCCCGCATCCGGTAGCCTTGCTGGGTGGTGTCCGTGTACGGTCCGGGCGTCACAGGGTCTGCGCTGGGCTTCTGAGCACTCGCACGCACGCTCCGGCCGCAGTCGTCTACAGAGGCCGTCGTTCGCCGTCCGAGGGTGCTCACTGTGCGCTCGCTACCGCGATTCTGCCGAGTTAAGGAGAGCCTTCATGCATTGCGTCCATTTGGGACGGCACGGTGTATAGAAACTCCACGCCCATGCGCGCATCGCTGGGCGGCCATTGAGTCGCTCGGATGTGCTTCGGATGTTCGTACGCCAGTGAAAAGGTCATAACAAGTGCTTCGCGATGCTAAGATATGTCGGAAACACGGGTTCATTGCACACGCCTCAAGTTCGGCACGTAGGGTAAGATTACGCGGTCGAAAAGCCCGGCCCAAGAGTGAAGATGGCGGTCGAGACGAAACGCACTCGGCGTCTAAACCACGACAGCGGCAAAGGCCGAGCAGCGAGCTCACGCCTGTCACCGATTTGGCAGTCCTTCGAAAGGCTAACAGAAGTGGCGGTGAAGTAGAGCGCAGATTGCACGGCGACAGATGTGCTACTACCACTAGAGGTATGACGCGAGCACCGATACAAGGGAGATAGAGGGGACTCCCGAAGAGAGGTCAATGAGCGGGGCCGGAGTATCTTCTCGCTGGAGTCTCCTCACGAGATGCTCTTCAGATACTGAGTCCGTGTCGAAATTGGGCAACCTATAATCTGCTGCTACGTCGGGCGTTCATTGTTGACAAGAAGGTTTCGCGATGACGCTCAGAAGTATCGGAAACACGGTCGCACCAAATTCGGCGAATGGAGGCTCTAAAATAGTGTAGGTTTGTGCGAATGAACCCTGTTGGTGTCAACTTCATGTACTTCACGAACATCCGCCACAAGACTCCATGAGCGGACATGTGGAGAGGGCGCGCAGATGTATGACGCGCAGACGAAAATGTGAGATAACGATGTACGACTAAACTAAACGAGAGGCAAAGCGCAATACACAAACAATAAACAGCGGAATACGAAGCGACAGAACTGTGAACAGCAGCGCCTACGACGCCGTCCTAGCTTCTGGCGGCTCAACCGGCACCGGCGTACCCGTATCCTCCCTCTCCGCACCCGGGCCATCCACACATTTCCCCGCGTCCACATCCTCCTCTTCGTCAGCCTCCTCAACGCTCGTAATGCTCGACCCCGGACTGTCGGAGCCCTGATCGGAGCCCGAGCCCGAAGATCGACTCGAGCTTGAGCCCTCACTGGGCGCCTTCGTCGTCGTAGGAAGAGGATGTGTGTAGCTGGATAGGGAGACGCTCCGCACAATCCTTGCCGGCGTCGACGCGCGCGACATGAACCGTGATGGGCCGCTGACATCAACTGCTGCCGCAGGTGCAGGTGCGGCGGCGGTCGCGGGCAACGGAGGGAGCACGCGCTCATAATACAGCATGAACGCGCCCGTCCCCTCCGCCAACGCGCTCTCAATCCCCACCCTACTCACACTATCGTCGCTAATCCTCAACCAGCCCCTCCCCGTGCCCGGCCCGACATCTGTCCTCCTCTTCCCGTCCTTATCCAGCTCGTCCGTGAAGACCGGCTCGGCGTTGGTTTCTGATAAGGGACGCGCGAGGCGGGGAGGGGAGGATGAGGGCGAGGGGAGGCGGCGGTATGCGACGTAGTGTCCGAATTGGTGCGTGCCGTAGTGGACGACGACGGCGGCGAGGCGGTAGAGGATTCTGTCTTGTTGTGTTGATGTTGAGGGTGTTGATGTTGAGGATGAGGCCATGGGCTGGCCGGATATGGGCGAGACGGGGTGCGTTGATAGGGCGCCGGACGTGGAGAAGGGCGTGAGGTCGAGGATCTCGGTGTAGTGGACGCGCGCGGAGTTCTTCTGGGCGTAGGCGCCGTAGGACATTGAACGGTTGAGGTGAAGAGCAAGCACAGGCGGCGGCTACACAAGTTGATTAATATAGCGAAACAATGCATATAGGACAATACGACTCACTCTTGCGACCATGGCCTGCTTCGTACTCGCCCGACTAAACACCCTGACCAACTTCAAATCCTTAACGTCCTCCTCCTCCCTCTTCTCCCTCAACAGCGTCTCGACCTTCGCAACCTGCCCCTTCAGCTCGCGTAACCGCTTCTTGCGGCTGTTCGTGGGCTTGGGGTCGTCCGAGAGCCGCTGGACCTCTTCGCGCAGGTGGGAGAGCGTGGCGAGGAGGGAGCAGTGGCGGCACATGCAGTCTGTGAGGACTTCGAGCTTGGTGTATTCCGCAAGGCATTCTTCGAGTCTGCACGCCTATCAGATCAAAAGCATATAAGTATGATATGAGATGTAGAGAGTGGGATAGGCTCACGGCGGTACGAGGAAGCGGCAGCTGCCAACTATCGAACGAAAAGTGCATCACAGCCTCCGTATACCCGCACTCGACACAACACCGCCGATTGGCCGTCAACCCGTCGAACACGCCGACCTTGCTTAGCTCCACCCTCGGCGGTAGATTCGCGGAGCCGGGCAGGGCGTCGAGCGCGGCGAACCCGCGGTCGGTGTTCTGCTCGGCTTCCATGCCCGATGCTTCTTTTTTGAGGTGCTCGGTGACGAGCTGGAAGAGCTCTTGGGCGTCTTGGTGCTCGCGCGAGGAGAAGAGTGGCGAGCGTTTGCCGGGCGAGGTGTGGGAGAGCGCGTCGATTATCGCCATGGGCCGGATGGCGCGCGGGTAGGGTTGGGGTTCGTTGAGTGCTATGACGTAGATAAGCGACTGTATCGACCGTGAAAGTAAATGGGCATACTTTGCAATAAATCCCTCAGGGCATCCGTGACAGGGCTAGGGTAATCCAGCTCCTCCGCCCGCGCGTGCACAGCGTCGAGATACGGCCTCAAATAAGACAGCGACGCCAACGCCTGCATCGTCGAGTTCATAAAGCAATATGTCCCCGACACGTTCACGAGCCCCGTATAATGCGCGCCCGCATCTGCAGGACCAGCCCCCGCCGCGTCCCCTCCTCCCACTTCACTCCGCGGCACCTTGCGCTGCTGTGCCAACATCTCCGCTCTTGTCCGCGGTTTCCTCAGCACTTCCTCCGTATATGGAGATGTCCCCCAGTTCCACGGCATAGCAGAGGATATAGCAGCGAGCATGACAGATACACGACCGAACGCGGCGAGTATATAGTTCCGGCCAACCAGAACGGCAAGTGGAAGAGCGAAGAGGCCGAAGATGGGCGCGAGCTGCTGGACGAGGGGATTGGATGATGCGGTGCGGATGAGGTCGAGCAGTTCGGGAGGGAGAGACATGGCCTGGTGTGCTTTAGGCTGGCATGTCAGTGGCCGTTGGGGTATGAAGGTGGGAACAAGGAGTGAGTGCGTAAGAGTGCGGCGCGAGAATTCCGGTATATTTGAAAGAGTACGTAAGACAAGTATACATGGCTACCTGGCGCAATGGTAGCGCGTTTGGCTTCGATCGCCTTGAACATCCTACCAAAAGGCTGCAGGTTCGAGTCCTGCGGTGGTCACTTTTTGCCACTTCTTTCCCTTCTCCCTCGCGGTGCGCGCTAGGAATGACTGATAAATTCGGTGATCGGCACGCGCGTGCTGGCTTTTCGGAACTGCCATAGAGACTTTCCGTACGACGAAGATTGGAATAGACGCCATGCATCTCGACTGTGCTTGACTCGAGGGCGTCTGCCGCGTCCGTATAAGGGCTTGGTTGACGAGCATCGCGACCCAGAGCGTAGATCTGCAAGATCGAGTGGCTTCTTTTGCAATCCTCCGTCATGTCCGGAAAGCCACTAGGTACACATCGTACTACTATTAGACATACGATGTAGCTCATGTAGCGTCGCGCTCGCAGTCTTCGTCACCGGCAACGCCAACAAGCTCGCGGAGGTCAAAGCGATCCTCGCAGCGGGTGGCGCGCCTCTGGCGCTTGAATCACGCGCTTTGGACTGTATGCTATATCCCCCTCTACTGATCATGTAGTGCTCTATTCTGAAAAAGAGCGTGCAGTGCCAGAGATCCAAGGATCGACGCAAGAAGTCGCGCGGGAGAAGGTCAAAGCCGCAGCCGAAATCGTGAGCCTCGTGCTATCACATTTGATCTACCCATCTACTGATCGCATTGTGGCGGATAGGTCGGCGGACCGTGCATCACAGAGGACACCGCGCTCTGCTTTGAAGCCCTCAACGGCCTCCCGGGGCCCTACATCAAATTCTTCCTCAAAGACCTCGGGCACGAAGGTCCCCCTCTCCCCTCCTCTCCTCCCATGCACACGCACTCAACACCCAATCAGGCCTGAACAAGATGCTCCACGGCTTCTCGTCGACCGCCGCCTGGGCCCTCTGCACATTCGCCTACTGCGCCGGCCCCGGCTCCGAGCCCGTCCTGTTCGAAGGGCGCACGGACGGGCGCATCGTCCCTGCGCGCGGGCCGGCGAAGTTTGGGTGGGATCCGGTGTTCGAGCCTGTTGAGGGCGAGGGGAAGACGTGCGTATCCTCCTTGTTTGCATGTCATGTGGAAAGAAAGGTGGCTGATGAGGGATGGGGTGTAGGTACGCGGAGATGGACCCCAAGGCGAAGAACTTGATCTCGCATCGGTATCGGGCGTTGGAGAAGCTGAGGGCGTTCTTGAAGGAGAAGGCGGTAGAGGGGGAGGTGGCTACTACGGCCTGAAGCGCACGGGAAATGTCATGTCGAGACGTAGAGTAGGGTAGTGGTGGTCGTGGTGTACTAGACCGTAAACGCTACAGAGGGCTCATAATGACGCGTGAGAACCGCCTACGCGCGCGCGTTTGGGACGGCTGAGCACCTGCAGCCTGCGCACACCACGGGCTTACAGCTGGCTCTGAGTCCTCCACATACATCATGTCCTCTCCCATCCCATCAGGCTCGCAATCCCCAGCGACTGAACAACGCGAGCTCGAGAACGCGCTCGCTGAACATGAGGCTGCTGTGGCTACCGTGACTGCTGCACAAGGGCTCGAGCCTCCCGCGGACGAGGCAGAGTCTGATGCTGGAGAGGCAGAGTCTACGGAGGCGGCCGTGGGCGTGATTGACTACGCGCGTCAGAATGGGGACGGGGAGGCGAGTGGCGGTAGCAGTGAAGAGGACGGGAAGGTGACTGAGAAGAGCGTTGATGAACATGAGGAGGTGGTGGAGAGCGAAGAGACAGACGACGCGAGCTCAGAAGAGGAGGACGAAGAGTCAGAAGACGAAGAGGACGAGGAGCCTGCGCTCAAGTACGAGCGCTTAGGCGGCGCATTCCCCGAGCTCTTCGCGCGCGAGACCGCGTCCTGTCTCGCGATATCGAATAAACTACTGGTAACTCGCTGTACCTACCCCGTCGTCTGTTAGTCTAATGGAACTATCCGCCAGGCTTTTGGCACGCACAGCGGGGTAGTGCATGTGCTCGATATGGCCGGCAACCGCGTAAAGTCGTTCAAGCCTCATACGGCGTCTATCACGGATATGCACTTTGACCCTTCGGCCGACTTTATAGGCACGGCGTCCATCGACGGTACGCACCCCTCATTCGCAGTAAACGCGTAGCTAAACAGAAGCCAGGCCTAATATTCATCCAATCGCTCTCGACGACCGAAGCCTACTCGTTGAACATGAAACGCCCGATGCGCACGCTCTCCCTCGACCCGTCCTTCGCCAAATCCAGCGCCCGCGCCTTCGTCTGCGGCGGCATGTCCGGCGCCCTGATCCTGCACGAAAAGGGCTGGCTCGGCCACAAAGAGACCGTCCTGCACCAGGGCGAAGGCCCGATCTGGCAGGCGCGCTGGCGCGGCCACCTCATAGCGTGGGCGAACGACCTGGGCGTCAAGATCTACGACACCCAGAGCCAGACGCGCATCACGTACGTCGACCGCCCGGCCGACGCGCCGCGCGCGGATCTCTTCGGCGTCACGCTACGGTGGCAGGACGACAGCACGCTGCTCATCGCGTGGGCGGACACGATCAAGGTCGCGCGCGTGCGCGCAAGGCCGAGGGGCGCGGCGCCGGCTGGGGGCAGTTTGCCGCCGTTGGTGGTGGAGATCACGGCCGTGTTCCAGCTGGACTGTATGATCGCCGGCATCGTGCCGCATCCTTTGCCGCACTCGTTCGCCGCGGCTCAACATGGGCACCATAATCACCGGCGCGAGCGGAGCAGCGCGAACATGACCACGAGCCCGACGAGCTTTCTGGTGCTGGCGTATACGCCGCCGGACGACTCGTTCAACGACGAGGCCGTGGCGGATCGCTCGATGCAGGCGCGCAGAGTCGCTGAGCGGCCGGAGCTGAGGGTTGTGAGCAGAGGCGGGGAGGAGCTCGCGGCGGACGCGTTAACCGTACAAGGGTTCGAGCGCTGGAACTGCGGGGACTACGCCCTGGCCGAGATCGACCCGGACGACGTGGGCGACACGCGCGCGTACCTCGTGCTCAGCCCGCGCGACGCGATCGTGGTGCGGCCGCGGGACCGGAAGGACCACATCGCGTGGCTGGTCGAGAAGGCGCGGTACGAGGAGGCGCTGGGCGAGGTCGAGGTGCTGGAGCAGGAGGAGGGCGCGGGCAGCGTCGACGCGGGCGCGATCGGGCAGCGCTACATCGAGCACCTCGTCGCCGAGGGCGCGTTCGCGAAGGCGGCGAAGCTGTGCCCGAAGGTGTGCGGGCGCGACACAAAGCGGTGGGAGGACTGGATCTTTGTGTTCGCGCAGAAACATCATTTGCAGGACGTGATTCCGTACGTGCCGACCGACGCGCCGCGGCTCGACCACCTCGTGTACGAGATGATACTCGCGCATTTTCTCGCGAACGATCGAACACAACTACAGAGAACGATACGTGAATGGCCGACGGAGATCTACGACGTCTCGGCGGTGATATACGCCATACAGTCCGAGCTCGACCGCGCGCCGTCGTCTTCGAGGCCCGTGTCGCCGAGTAGTGGCAGTAGCAGGTCGGGCGCGCAGACGATCCTGATGGAGTGTCTCGCGGAGCTGTATACGGCGAACCGGCAGCCGGGCAAAGCGCTCCCGTTCTTCCTCCGCCTGCGCAGGCCGAACGTGTTCGATCTTATACGGGAGCACAACCTCTTCACCGACGTTCAGGATCAAGCTTTGTTGCTAGTGGAGTTTGATGCGGAGTTGAGGGAGAAGAGGGAGAGGGAGGGCGAGGGTGTGAAGGGGCGCGGGCAGGCGATCGAGTTGCTTGTGGATCATACGTACTCGATTCCGATTCCGAGGGTTATGAAGCAGCTTGAGAGCAGGCCGTATTTCCTTTTCCTTTATCTGGACGCGTTGAGCGAGAAGGATCCGCAACTTACGGCTGACTTTGCCGATACTCAGGTCAGTGTTCGTCACTCGCTACTTCGTTCACGGTTGCTAATGTGGTCATGGTATAGGTCAAGCTGTACGCGGAATACGCCCCAGAAAGACTCGTCGACTTCCTGCGCGTCAGCAGCCAGTACAACCTCGAACAAGCCTACAAGATCTGCACCGAGCGCGACCTCGTGCCGGAGATGGTCTTCCTGCTCGGGCGGATGGGCAACAACAAGCAGGCGCTGTACCTCATCATCGACCGGCTGGGCGACGTCACTCGTGCGATCGACTTTGCGAAGGAGCAGAGCGACGACGATCTGTGGGAGGATCTGCTCAAGTACTCCGAAACACGTCCACGTACGACTCTCCCTCTCCTCAGTGAATCCACCTTATACTGAATGAGCCCTTCGCAGCCTTCATCCGCGGCCTCCTCGAAAACGTCGGCGCCGAAATCGACCCAGTCCGCCTCATCCGCCGCATCAAAAACGGCCTCGTCATCCCCGGCCTCCAACCCGCCCTCATCAAAATCCTATCCGACTTCAACCTCCAGATCTCGCTCCTCGAGGGCGCGCGCGCCGTGCTGGGCTCCGACGCCGCCGCGCTGGCGCACAGGCTGCATAAGGCGCAGAGTGCCGGCGTGTTTTTGAGCGCGCGGACGCCGTGTCCGGTTTGTGGGGAGGTTTTGAGTAGTGGTGGGGGAGGGGG